CTACATTCTAATTACCAAAAAAGCAAATCTTTTCATTTTCCCCCATTGTATACATACTATGACTTTAGTACTACTTTAACTACTACAGTATCATGAAACATTTATGAAGCCTAGTGATCATAAAAAGGGCAGGGATCCCAGTACCAAAAGAAGAAAGACAAAAAATACAGTTAAAAAAAATATATAAACTGCCACTATTGTGTTGTTTTAGGAAGATGTTTTAGTACATGTTCCTAAATGAAAGGTTAACAACAACAACAACAAAAAATCTATCTGTAGAGAAAGTAGAAATACAGGAGAAAGCATTCTATCAACATGGAGAAAATATCCTTTTGATAACACAGAAAGCCTACCAGCTTACCAGGAAGTAACTAACAAGGATCTGTAATCACCACAAAGCCTCCTTCACCTAAGGTCTCATGGTTGTTAGGCAAGTGCTCTACCACTGAGCTAAATCCTTAATCTCAACAATTTTAAGAAATTTTAAGAAATCTACAAATACACTAAACATGCTTACAAAGCAAATTTTAATACCACCATTCTTTGTTTTAAGTGCAAGAGTTAATCCCTGGGGAATTGGAGGTAGCCAGGCTCTTTATAAAATGGGCCAAAACAGCCAGCAACCCTGATTTTTGTGCGCACCTTTCTAAGATGTGCTACAATGGAACTGAGTTTCCAGATTTAAGAGCAAACTTTTGACACTAAAGTAGCTTTCAGCCCTGTCATATAAACTGGTGCCATTTCTTTCTCTTCTTTTTCTGTTCTCAAAATAATTTGTAAAAAGAGAAAAGGAAGTACTTTTTCCACTGATTGGGAAGTTTTCTTTCTAGACTTTAGCTCAGTATATCATTGATAAGACATGAAGAATTTCCTCACCAGTTTCAAATTCATAAAACCTCTTAAAAGCCCCAATATACTTCAATCAATAAAATACTTAGAAATGTTAGAAGCAAATTAAATGGAACAGACGTCCTCTGTGGGTCACTTAGCATCCAGCCACCCTCATAAATTGGAAAAGACTGACATGAGATATTACGGACTGAGGAAGAGGGGAGCCCAGTCCGTCCTCGGGAATGCCAGTCTGGCTCAGTCTCTCTGTGCACATGGATACACCAAGTTCCTTCCTGCAGCGGCAACACTGTAGGCTTATATGACAAGGAAGCCTTGTCTAGAATCCTCCAAACTAAGCAGTTGGTACTGTTATGGACTCAGTTTTCTATAACCAAGACCACTGAAGTCTATTAGTCTTAATATGCAACTTATCTGCATAAAGCTTAACTTTATATAAAGTTATGAGAGATGTTTTTCAATCCATTTTAGCAACAAAACCACAATAGTTTCTTCCCCAATCCTAACAGAAATGTAATCTGGATGGAAATGCCACAGGACTCTGAAAAATACAAAGAAGTATAATTTTTTTAACCTGCCTTATGTAACTGTAACCCCTCTGTATATCACTCTTATAATAAAAATAACAAAAAATGTTTACTTAAAAAAAGTGAAGAAACCATGTCAAAAAGGAAGATGAAGTACCTTACTGACCAGAGATACTCAAAGGGTCCAAGTCTCACACCAGAACATTGGAATTTATTCTGTGCTCCACACTAAACCACTATAATCTGTGCTAAAGAGAGCAGTAAAGAAATGGAAAGAGCTCTGCCTAAGAGTCATTTCACATAATGGTGTCAGGGAAGTTTCTTTGTGCCCCGGTGTCCTCCCATTTGTGAAAATAACTTGCAGCTGTTCTATACTGGGCATCTTAAACATCTGCTGTAGCTCTAGAACAGAGGGAAAACTATCCAGCAACTAACCCTAGGAAGTTCTTTACAAGGGATGCTCTCCTAAACAAGCTCACTGGTACTCATACATACGCCTCACTGCTGTTCTTTTTCCTTCTGGGGTAGAACAGGAGATTGTATTCAGAGTCTTATGCTTGCAAAGCAGGTACCCTTGAGCCACTCTTTTTACACTGGTTATTTTTGAGGTAGGGTCACACTTTATGCCCAGGCTGGTCTGGCTGTGCTCCTTCTACTTCTACTTCTCCAAGTTGCTAGAAAAATGCACATACAACTAAGCCCAGTCATTGAGTGAGGTGGAATCTACTCAATTTATATACTCAGACTGGCCTTGAACTAGGGTCCTTGATCTCTGCTTCCCAAGTAGCTAGGATTACAGGCTTGAGTCACTACATCTAGCCATTAATACTGTGCTAAAAAAAAAAGACATTGCAGGAAATTGTAGTTATTTTTAAAATGCTGCCTTTACACAAAATTTCAGACATTGTTTTGGAATTGCTTTACACTCAACAATTCATTCTTCTGAATGTACAAGCAGTAGAATGTGGATATTCCTAACTTCAATATATATTAAAAACATTTATACTTATGTACATGCAAGAATTGTTGGGCTTCCTCAGGGACTTCCCGGAGAGGAAACAACATTTCTTTAAAGTTTTTACTGATGCATGACTGATTTGTGTATGTGTGTTGGTAGTAGGGAGGAGGGGAGAGTAACTGCAATTTTTCTTGTCTTTTGTGATAGTTCTGGAACTTGAATGCAGGGCCTGGACACTGTCCTTGAGCTTTTTTTTTTTTTGCTCAAGAGTAGCACTCTAGGGCTGGGAAGGTGGCTCAGTGGTAGGTGCTTGCCTTGCATGCCTGAAACCCTGTGTTCGATTCCTCAGCACCACATAAGCAAAAAGAAAAAAGCCAGAAGTGGGCTGGGAAGGTGGCTCAGTGGTAGAGCACTTGCCTTGCATGCATGAGGCCCTGGGTTCGATTCCTCAGCACTACATAAGCAGAAAAAGAAAAAAGCCGGAAGTGGCACTGTGGCTCAAGTGATAGAGTGCTAGCCTTGAGCTGAAGAGCTGAGGGACAGTGCCCAGGCCTAGAGTTCAGGCCCCACGACTGGACCCCCCCCCCAAAAAAAGAAGAAAAATGCCAGAAGTAGCGCTGTGGCTCAAGTGGTAGAGTGCTAGCCTTGAGCTGAAGAGCTGAGGGACAGCGCCCAGGCCCAGAGTTCAGGCCCCACAACCAGACCCCCCACACCAAAAAAAAAAAAAAAGATTAGTACTCCTACCACTTGAGCCACAGCTCTACTTCCAGCTTTTGGTGCTTCTCTGGAGATGAGTCTCAAGAACTTTTCCGCCCAGTCTGGTTTAAGCTCTAAATCTCAGATCTCAGCTTCTTGAGTAGCTAGGATTACAAGTATGAGCCACTTGCAGGCTCACCAGGACTTGGCTTGGTACTGGTATTTTGAAGTCAAGGCCTTCTACTTGCTAGGCAGATAATCTATATTTGAGCCACGTCACCAGCCCTTTTTACTTTAATTTTTTATCATTTTTTTTTCCTCCCAAGTAGAGTCCCTTCCTGGGCACACCTAGATTCCAACCCGCCTACTTAAGCTTCCTATGTATCTTTGCCCAGACTGGTCCTATCCTCCCAATCTTTACCTCACAAGTAGCTGGGATTATAAACCTGAGCCACTATACCCAGCTTTATACTTTATATTAAAACAGCAAAAATAAATAAATAAAACCACTCTCAATTTGAAGCATTATAGGTACAATTCACATGGAAGAGGAGTCAAAGTCCGTATCTTCAAGTCAAGTTGTATCCTCACTTCTCAATTCATCCTCAGCCTCTTAGTCCCTAGACAGAACCTCATATCTCATTCCTACTGTCACCCTGCTCCTTTATCACCTGGCTAGCCCAGCCCTCAGTGATGGTATTGGCCATTTTTCTGAAAGTGGGTTTACAGAACATATAACCCTGACCCCCCTCATAGTAAAAAGGGACTCTCTACATAGCTATTTAATTGCACAGTCTTCTGCAGCACCTCTGTAAAAGAGCCACAGAGGAAAGTATATACGTGTAAGATTACATACATCGTACTTTAGTATTCCCAATCTTCCCACTAAATGACAGGTAAATGACTTGGCAATATGAGGACCTACCAGATTCTACAGGTTACCTTTCATACACTCTGTAAAACATGATTATACCTATATGCCTATTCAGTCAGTCACCTGAAGGAAAACAACTTGTTCATCATGTCCATGAAGATCATCTCTTTCTCAGAGATAACAAAAGGCCTATTATCAAACTCATACTGCTAAGGCTAACATTAAGACAGTTACATTCCAATTATTTTAGAAATCAGAAGCTTGTATGGCTCCAAAATTCACTTTTACTAATAAGAAACAGTGGCCTGTTGGGTACTGAGGGGTCATGTCTGTCATCCTAGTTATTCAGAGGGCTGATATCTGAGGATTGCGGTTCAAAGCCAACCCAAGCAGAAAGCTCATGAGACTCTTATCTCCAATTAATCACCAAAAGCCAAAAGTGGAGCTGTGGCTTAAGTGGTAGAGGGCCAGCATTTAGCAAAAAGGGGAGAGCACCTAGGCCCTGAGTTCAAGTCCTAGGACAGCACAAAGCTGAACAAACAAAAAATTGGCTCACTCACTTCTCCACACGGTTTCCTAGCACTAATGGCTCTCCATATCCATCCCACCTGAAACTATTGCCAGAGGAGGGAAAAAAACTGACTATACTTCCCTCCTCTTGGGCTTTAAGCTTATCTCTGCAGCCACTTCACTTTTCTACAACTAATTTTCTCCAATAGCTCAGAGCCTCAAAAGTAACAAATAGAATGCTCAAGGAGCCTTTGGACCGAAAGAATCTTCATGAAGAGCCTTTTCTTTCTTTTAAATACCTATTCATTCTGTCACAAGTGGAGATTTGGGGGATTTTGGTTTTGGGAGCCCATAATTTACACTTAAGAACAAAAATATTCGGAAACTATCTGGCTCAGGTTTGAAGCCAGTCTATGTATTTTCTCCAAAGATCAGAGGAAAATGGGAGCAGGGAGGAACATCTGGCATAAGATAGAAAAAAATCAGAGTGTGCACTGTTCATTCTGGAGGGCAGCTGGGCAGCTGACGGCCTTTAACCTGGGGGGGGAGGGGGAGGGGGATATTCATCCACTCACAGGACACTCACCTTGAGGATTTTCACAACCACTCTCTCATTGTTGGTGATGTTAATGGCCTCAAATACTTCACTATACTTTCCCCGACCAAGTTTTCGAACCAGTTGGTAATCATCTTGATTACTGTGAAAGGTAAGAGACATGCATCAGTGCCAGGATTGGGGATTAACCAAGCCCTATGCCCATTTAACACTGGAGCTCTGCAGCTTTCATAGTCACCCATGTTCAAGTGTCTCTTAGACATCGTGCCACAATCGGGCCGGAAACTGCTTTCCTTCACTCTACAGAGCTCCTTGCCTACCTGGATCCCTCCTAACTTGGGGAGAAGGGACAGGAGCGCCACCGTGAGAACTCATCTGGGGAAGCACGCTAGCATCTAGGTCCTGCTGGCCCAGGCAGGAGTGTCTCCAGTGCCCGCGTGGCTGCACCCGCACCTGTCTCCCGTCGCACACCCAGAAGGGAGGCTGTGGGCCACTTGGAGATCTCGGCGACTTTAAAAAATTTCCCTCCCACCCGGTCTCATGTCAGAAAACTAAAAAGGCCGAGAATTTTAATAGCTTCGGAGGACAGCTGTTGGCTTCCCCACCCCACCAGAAACCCCAAAGTTCTCGGGAGGGAGGGACGGAGAGAGAGAGGGAAGGAAGGGAAGGAAAAGAAGGGAAGAGGAAGGAAGGAAGGGGCTGCCCCCCCTTCGCCCGGACCCCCCACGTCTCCCCCAGGGGGGGAAGGCAGTGCAAAGCCGAGCTCTGGGGTGGGGGTAGGGAAGAGGAAGACGGAGCGACATGTGCGACAACTTGGGGCGGGGGGGGGGCTCCGCCTTCCCGGTCCCCCGGGCCCGGGGAACCCGAAGCCGCAGGCCGGCAGGAGGCGGGTCGCTGGGCCGAGTGCGGTTTGCGCCGGGGTGGTCGGCGGGGCCGGGGGTCGCGCGGGCTGGCGGGGGGTCGGGACGTGAGACTCATAGTCCCAGTACTCGCGGCTCCTCAGGCTGTTCACCTCGGCGTAGACCCGGGCCCGACTGCCCGCGGCCGGGCCGGGCATGGCGGGCGGGACCGGGGGGCGCCGCGGGGCGCCGAGGGCGGCGGCGACGGCGCGGCTGGGGGCGCGGGGCGGCGGGCGGAGGAGGAGGAGGACGAGCGCGGCGGCGGGCGGCCGCGCCAGGCCGGGCCCGCGGCGGGCGGGCGGGCGCACGGACGGACGGACCGACGGACGGGCGGGTGGACGAGCAAAGGGGGGCGCGGGGGGCGCCGGCCGAGCCGGCCCGGCCCTGCAGCGGCCGGCGGGGCGGCGGGGCTCGCGCTCCGCGGCGGCCTCCGCTCGGCTCGCGGCCCCCGGAGGCGGCGGCGACGGTGGCCACCGGCCGGGAAAGGGGCAGCGGCGGCGGCGGCGGCGAAGAAGAAGGAGGAGGAGGAGGAGGACGAAGAGGAGGAGGAGGAAGAGGCGGAGGGAACCCGGAAAAGGGGCCGCGCTCACCAGGAGCGGCCGCCGCCCAGCTCCGTGCCGCCCGGGCCCACAGCGCCCCCTGCAGTTCGGGGGGACCCAAGGCCTCAGGCCCGCCCGGCCCCAGCCTCAGACCCCCCAACGCCGGGTCCCCCGCGACCCCCCGACAAGCCCACCCACCCAGACCCTCAGTGCTCACCAGCCTTGCCTCCGCAGCCTAACCAGTACCACCGAGTTCCTCCCCATCCGCCTCATAGCCTGTCCCATTTCAGGATGTCCCCTCCCTCCCCAAGGTTCCCCTGGGGACCCTGCCCCGTCATCCCCGGACCCCTCAACCCCAGATTGCTCATTCTCCCTGAATCCAGAAACTTCCTTCCCCACGACACCCCCGCCCCCGAATTCTCTCCTGAGTGTCCTCTGGGGGGTCGAGTCTGGCCAGGTTGCCTCCCTGTGAGTTACTGTCTTTCCCTTTGTAACTAATAAGTAATGAGTCGGGAGATACTTTGAGACTGGAGATCCTGATTGAGGCGATGGGGATGGATGGCAGACAGAGGGTGTACCCCCAAAGTGGCCCCCAAAAGCTACTTGCCTTCCAGACCTGAACACTCTCCTCTCTGATCTTCTGGAGCGCTCTTCTTGTCTTTTTTTTTTTTTCTTTTTTCTCCCAGATCACAAACTTTATCAGCAGAACCTTTTCTCTCCCAGCCCAGGTGGCTCGGAGGCCAAATCCTCTTTCACGTTCTTTTCCCAACGGCCTTATACAGCCAAGAACAAAAGACTGTGGAGTCTGCTCCATCTGAGTTTCCATCCCAGCTCAGCAGCTTGCAAGCTGTATGAACTTGGACCAACAGCTCAACCTCTCTGTGCTTTAGATTTTAGGGCATAAAACTTGGAATGGCATCTGAATCACAAGAGGGTGTGGGTACTCGACTAAGATAAACCACAAGAAACATTCAGAACAGCCATCAATATTAAGATACTAAGTGCTCATGTAGTTATTGGATCCTTTCACTTTTCCCTCCTGGGAATCACTTTGTGCCCAAGCTGAGAAGCTTGCCAGAAAACACTTCCATTTGCCTATAACTGACTCTTACTTTCCTTTCCCTTTCCTCACATGAAAGTCACTTTGTGCACATTTGATACTTGACTTTGTTTCATTTTGGAGTTATTGGAGCTTGAACTCAGGACCTTATGCTTGCTTAGCAAGCACTCTAGCCCTCAACAGACCCCCCATCCTTTTTGTTTGTTACTTTTCAGATAAGGAGTGTCTTGTAATTTTCCCCCTGGCTAGCCTTGCCCTACAATCCCCCTACTTCGGCCTCCTGAGCAAAATAATAGATGCATGCCACCACATCTGGTGTATTGGTTGAGATGGGATCTTGATCACTTCCTTCCCCCACCAGGATGACTTTGAACTGAAATCTTTCTTTCTCTACTGCCCAAGTAACTGGGATTACAGATGTGAATCAAGGCAGGGCCTAGAGTTGACGTATTTCAGCATTCTATCCCCCGTCTTCCATAACACGGTTTGCTTCTTGGCTTTTCACTGTCTCCTCCCTAGTAAGAAAAGCATAAGAAAAAGACTTGATCTGGATATTCACCACTGATTCACCCACCAATTCTCACAGTTGGAGACCTTCTGTGACTACAGAGCTGTCCCACAGATGCCTTGTTGGTTACCAAAGGGACTACCATCTTAATCATGGATCAAACAGAACCAAAGGATCCTCTGCTGCGATTCACTGAGACAGAGCACATCACCTGTCTACATGGTCACACCTGTACTCAGAATGTTTAATCTAATTGGGGTAAGGGGTGGGGACACCACATACATCCACATTGGGGAAATATTCATCCAAACAGACTGCCTAGATTCTTACATTCTTTTTTTCCCTTCCTTTTTCCTACTTATTGTTGTTCTAGAGGTGTTATACAATGAGGTTACCTTTACATACATCAGATAATAAGTACATTTCCTTTTCTATAGTGTCATCTGTTCCCATTCCCTCCCTCTGATCTCCACCCATGAGTTGCATAGATCATTTTCATCAATGTCCAGTGAGCTCCACTGCTGCACTTTTCCACCCTTTTCCCTCAGATTCTATGCTCCCTCACCTTCCCACAGAAATGCACATGAATATGCCATATACAAGGTAAAGAATACAAGTCATTAGAAAAAATATAAGAAGTCCTTTGTTTCCCTATCTTTGGAGTTCATTTCAGTATGTATCTTATATACATATGAAGAGGCAGAGGCACTTGGGTATTACACCTTTGTGGTTTTCTCTTACATATCTTCTTTTGGTCTTACTCTATGTGACTATATTGTCATGTCCCATTGTGTTTTAGATCTAGCTTCCACATATCAGGGAGAACCTGCACCATTTTTTTGTTTTGTTTTTGGTTGGTCATGGGGCCTGAACTCTGGGTCTGGGCACTGTCCCCCACCTCTTCAGCTCAAGGCTAGTGCTCTACCACATGAGCCACAGTACCACTTTTTTCTGGTTATGTGGTGCTGAGGAATTGAACCCAGGGCCTCATGCATGTAAGGCAAGCACTCTACCACTGAGCCACCTTCCCAGCCCAAACCTGCACCATTTCTTTCTCTGATCTTAGCTTACCTCACTTAACATGATTTGTTCTAATTCCATCTATTTTCCTGAGAATGGCATTTTATTCTTTCTAATGGCTGTGTAAAATTCCATTGTATGTAGATACTACCGTTTTTGGATCCACTCATCTACTGTGGGTCATCTGAGTTGTTTCCATATCTTAGCTATTGTGAATAGTGTGCCAGTGAACATGGATGTGCAGTTTGGACTCTTATACTTTTAGCTTCTAAAAGATGTAAGTAAGGTGCTTGATTCTGCTAGATTCTGGATGTAGAAGGGGAGCAAGGATGCGGCTAGGTGATGGACACTGTTGGGGAGTTTGAATATAAGGTATATGTTGCATAGTATATCATTGTTCAATCTTGTGAGTGCAGTCACTGTACTGTGGTTATACAAGAATATCCATTGACTATAGGAATTGCCTCTCAAGTGGTTGGTGTCAGAAGATCTGCAGCTTGTTCTTAAATGGCTCTCAGGAAAGCATGGGTTCCCAAGAGTATACCATATAACCACCAAAGGGATGGGGGGGGGTGTGTGGCACTGGTGGGAAAGGTTTACAGAGAATGTAATTAATGAGTACACAAGCTTGCAATATTTTGTTAGATTTGAATGTTTGTCAAAATGAAGGCTGGAAGAAAAGAAAACATTGATACAATAAGTGGATTTTGGGATTTAATTCCCAAGCCTGCCAGTCTCCCCAAATCTCTTTCATAGCAGAAGATACAAACATTTCTAAGATCTTAATGCACTTTAGCATTTTTTAACCTGAGCAGCCCGTAGGAACTTGTCAAGCCAAGAGAATATATATATATATATATATACACACACATATATATATACATATATATATGTGTGTGTGTATATATATATATATATATATATATATATATATGCCAGCACTGGGGTTTGAACTCAGGGTTGGTACTGTCTTTTTGCTTTTTCAATCAAGGCTCTTGCTCCACCACTTGAGCCACAGCTCCATTTTCAGTTTTTTGATGGTTAACTAGAGACAAGAGGCTTAGGAACTTTCCTGTCTGAGCTGGCTTCAAATCACAATCCTCAGATCTCAGCCTCCTGAGTAGCTAGGATGACAGGTGTGAGCTTCTGGTGCCTGGCTCCAGACCAGACATTCTTTTTATGTCCCCCCACCCCATTAAAAAAATCAGCCTTGGGCTTGAATTCAGGACCGGGGCACTACCCCTGAGCTTTTTTGTTCAAGGCTAGTGCTCTGCCACTTTGAGCCACAGCTCCACTTTCAGTTTTCTGGTGGTTAATTGGTACTTGCCTGCCCTAGCTGACTTTGAACCCCACTCCTCAGATCTCAGCCTCCTGAGTAGCTAGGATTACAGGCATGAGCCACCAGTGCCTGGCTTAGACCAGACATTCTTAATCCAACCCTTGAATGAACTTTCTGAGTTCCAGAAATTACTGAAATTGTATGTGGTATGTGTGTGGGAGGGGGGAGTTGTGTGTTGTGTGTGTGTGTGTGTGTTGTATGTGTATGTGTGGGTGGTGTGTGTATATGTGTGTGCACACACAGGCTTTTCTTCTTTTGCATACATCACATTCTAAAAGGAGGCCATGACCCAAAATATGATTCCAAAACATTGATGTGGCTATTCTGGCCAGCCTGGGCTAGGGCCCTATTCTTTGCCTCTACCCATGCCCACTTCTGCTCATTCTCCCTGCTCCTCCTCCTTCCTATGTAACCTATACCCATGTCACATACACAACTGCTCCCACAGCTGTGGGCTGCCTGAGGATCCTCCCACCCACACACCACTCTGCTGCCAGACACTAACTAAGCCCTGAAACCTGCAGTCAACCCTCCCACAGCCAAACGGAAGATGTTGTTATGGTTTGTGGGGAGGTAAGTTGGACACACCCCAGAACTGGCAGACACCTACTGCCTGCCAGGCAGCCACCATGGGCACCTGGAGATGCCTAGCCTAAGCTGATGTATAGCCTAAGCTGAAAGAGTCCCCCTTG